TAATCTTTCATTATCTCGTTTACAAACCCATCAATCTACATCATATGTGTCAAACTCGAGGCCTGCGGGCCACATCCGGCCCAACGTATATTTATATCCGGCCTGCGAGAACATTTCTATATAGATTCAGAGTCGACTGCAGAGGTGCCCATTGTGTCCCAGTCAAACAGTGCTCAGCAGTTATTAGGTAAGATGACGTCTTTCTGTAGTTCATTATAATAACAAGCAAAAAGTATTAAAGTGATGTTTACGTTGTGTATTTCAGACAGTGAGATGCAGAAACTGCAGGCCACAGGAGAAATGTAGTTTTCTGTAGTTGTTCAGTATCTAGAAGATACGTGTCAAACTCGAGGCCCGTGGGCCACATCCAGCCCAGCATACATTTATATGCCTGCAAGATCCTTTTTATATAGATTCATTATTATTGTTATTCATGGCCCGGCAAAATGAAGCACTAATAAGACAAAATCTACAGATTCAATAATTCAGAGTGTCAATCAGGTCAAGTTTCTGTTCTGTGTCAGGGTCTGCGACCCATCTTTTCGATTTGTTTTTTATAGTTTTTTCTTCTCTCCCATAATAATGAACATATGTTAAGTTCTGGTGTTGATCATCATTTAGGTTTTAGCTGAGTTTCATTATGGTTTAGATTTTCTTCTATGGCCTTGTGTCTGTTCTTGTTCACAGTATTATGCGGTCTGTCTTTTACTTTCAGTATGCTTGTGTTTAAGTCTCCCTTGTTGGTTCGTCATGTCCGTGTTTCCTATGTTGACAAGCTTGCTGTGTGTGTGCGTGTTTTAGTTTCACTTTCCCTGTGGTGTCATTATGCTAATTTGTGTCAGCTGTTTCCTCATGTGTTTCCACTTTCCCTAATCTCCTTTGTGTGTATTTAGTCTGTGTGCCTTCTTTCTTTGTCGGATCGTCTGTGTTACCTCCTTTCATGTATTCACAGTTCTCATACAGAAAGTAGAAGAGCTACAGAAGAATCTGACATTTCAGCAGATGTTTTTTCACC